ATGAATTATAAGCTCAGGTTTGGCAGATAAAAACCGATAGTAATATTTAATATCAATAAGTGCTTCAAATATAAATAAGGCTTGAAAGACAAACGACCAGAGAAATTTGAAATCTGTGTCTCACAAATGTTAAGGTCTCATTACATATATTTAACTACAATGTATTACTGGGCAACTAATGCAAATACGAAGCCCCTCAGAAATATGGTGTCAAGTTCTCTTAATTCAAGATTACATACCTGATTAAATTTTCCTGAGTTTTTTTTTTCCATTTTGTTTTAGTTTAAAGATTTTACTTTTTTTCTACCTTGGGGGAGGGGAATGAATCTGTTAAAATTTTTGAATAAGTATTCTGTTGTATGACAATATATCTGCATGTTCCACAGGGTCAAGTTAATTAAAGTTAATAAATGAGACCTCCAAAATTTAAATCATATACAGAATTAGTGTGCTTTTCATTCATAGAGGGTGTTAAATAAGGAAAATTCCAAAAATGTGATTTGATCCCGAGCTTTTCCTAGACCAAAGTTTCAGGACTCCAGATACTATCCCCCTAAATTCAAATTAAATGTTATATCCTGTTATCTTTCACATGACTATCCCTTTTGTAAACTATACTAAAACATAAATATCAAGCATTTAACACTCCGGTGTGGGGTGAATTTCCCGCCAAAATATAAGATGGCTCTGTCTTTTGGTTTTGTTCCATCCACCAAAAGGGTGGATTACAAACAAATATTTGGTAATACGCAGTTACAATCGGCCCGAGTTTACACGTTTCCCGCACTCCACCGCAAATCTATATGAACCGAGTTAAAGACGGCTCCCGCGGAGTACGCGCAATTCACGCAAGCCGACTTAACTCGTTTCCCCCACTCCAAGTGTTAATTAACTCACCCCTTAATGCCTTGGCAGGACCAGACCAAATGATTTAAGGTACCTTATATGGCCTGTGGGCCGGACTTTTCCCACACCTGATAAATCCTTAACAATTAGACAAAAATTGGGGGAGGAGGCTCATGCTCCCTCCATTTGTCTGCGAATAGGCTCTCCAGTATACAGTATACTATAAAATGCTCCATAGGTGTTCATTATGTGAATGAATACATGAATTAATATGTACACTTATTTTATACTAGAGGCCCAGTGCAGGACATTCATGCACTGGGGCGGGGGGGGGGGGGGGGGGGTTCTCACCCCGGCCTGCACCCTTTCACAGTCGGATGTCCTTAGCACTGCTGCGGAGGTGGGCCACTGTTCTTGCCAGCTATGAGTCTGGCTTGTGGCTGAGTGGTGCTCCCCCTATGGGAGCGCACTGACCACCAGGGGGCAGCTCCTGTGTTGAGAGTCTGCCCCCTGGTGGTCAGTGCACATCATAGTGACTGGTCATCCTGTGGTTCCATTGATTTGCATATTACCCTTTTATTATATAGGATAAGTTGAATAGGTAACAGCCTATTGGAAAATTCTCTGGAGATCACTTACACAAGTTTACACACGAATTCTAAAAAGAATTATTTAACTCTTTATTGGTGGCAACTAATTCAACTGCATGTTCATGGAGAATTTCCCACTCATAAGTGGATCTTCATCATCTTGCAAATTGACCTGAGAGATACCTCACAAAAAACATCATTCCAGCCCCACGATCTCCGTGGAGGATTATTCAGCATAACACAGCGCTCCCGCTGATTATTGGGTTCTCCTGGATGCCAGAATCTGAAAGGGGAAAAATGTGGATGTGACTTCAAATAGTGAGAAGGGTTAGAGACAGTGAGGTAGGAGGCTGGGGTTAAACTGTACAGAAGTCAAAGCAGATGCGCCCAATCATTTCTCTTCTACTATTAGGCAGTGTTTTTCTCCATCTGTGTCTTTGGCATTTCCCTTGAAAACTGTGCCTACATCCACCCCAGTATGGTGTCATCTTATTGCATTAAACACCTTCCCAGCAGATATCCCAGAGGCCCTTCTATTTGTCCATGCCCTGTCCTAGGGGACTGTCAGCCACAGGCTTCCTCAAATGATGACATTTTACTCTGGTCCCAAATCTTAATGTAGTTTGTTCCTTTTTTTTTTTTTTAACTAACTGCTTTGGAGTCTAAAGAAATAGTTAAAATCTATGAATCTGCTCTGATGCCTGTTATCTTGGACATGTTATTTAATTTCCTTTTTTTACATATCTAAAAAAATAAAGAATAGAGTAAGATCGCTATATATTTCATGCAGTTGATATAAGGATCAAAAATAGTAATGTATTGCCCTGGCCGGTTTGGCTCAGTGCAGGGCCAGGCGTGTGCGTGAGGCAACCAATACATATCTCTCACATCGATGTTTCTCTCTCACTGTCTCTCCCCCATCTTTCCACTCTCTCTAAAAATAATGGAAAAATATCCTCAGGTGAGTATTAACAAAAATATAAAAATAAATTTTTAAAAATAGTAATGTACTAAAGTACTTAAGAGTTTTAAAGGACCTACACAAATATGGGATATTGTAAAACTATCAGAATTTAGTTCATTTGCTTTATGAGAGATAATAAATACAACAGTCCTCGGGTTACAGCAGACTTGATGTACATCGTTTTGTGGTTAAGCCGCCATCTCCCATGTTTTTTATTATTTATTTACCACAAATAAAGGTCGGGAATTGTTATCTTTCTTTCTTTTAAATTTTTTTTTACTGTTTCACTTCATTACTGCTGTGTATGTGCTCCATGTGAGTGACGTAGGTGCTTATGTAGGTGGGTTCCAACTTACAGTGAAAATCGTGTTACGTTGCGCCGTAGGAACCGATCTCCCACCTAACCCGAGGACCTACTGTATTAACAATTGGTTATGGTTTTAATTAACATGACTATGCGTTTATTCAGAGATACAAATGTGTGGTTGGTCAAACACACAGAATTTGGCCCAACTGGTGTGGCTCAGTGGTTGAGCATCGACCCATGAACCAGGGTCACAGTTCGATTCCCAGTCAGGGCACATGCCTGGGTTGTGGGCTCGATTGCCATTGGGGACATGCAGGAGGCAACCAATAGATGATTCTCTCTCATCATTGATGTTTCTGTCCCTCTCTCCCTCTCCTTTCCTTTCTCAGAAATCAATTGAAACATATTTAAGGGGGTGGGGGGACTTAAAAATAAAACATACAAACTTTGGTATCAAATAGACCTGAGTTTAAGGACCATTGTAACCAGTGCCAGATAACATATGCTGAGTTATCTAAACTCAGTTTCCTCAGCTCTACAATGAAAAATTAATAATCTGTGCTCCATAAGGTTCTTGTGATGATTCAATGAGATAATAAATAAAATTATTTAACTTAGTGCCAAACGTTACAAGAAGCCTGAGCTACTTTATTTTCAAACCCGATACTTTGGACACTCTAAAATGCCTGATGATCCTGGACTCAGCATTCCTTTATCAAATTCTATACTCACGTGGCACTTGCATTGTACGGTGTCTGATCAACCCATCGCCAGTCTCCATTCCCCTCTGGGTCTGACAGCCCCACATAATAAGCACTGTTTTTATCCAGGTTCTGAATGATAAAATCCTGAGGAAAGAAAAAAAGGAGTTATGGCCTTTGGATTACTCAGGTTGAACTGAGTTCCTTACGGCCTTAGGGAGAGAGCAGGGAAGGAGAGGATCCAGGAAGAGTCAGGAGGCCCTGCCCAGGAGACCAG